AGTTCCCCATCCCAGCTGGTAACACTCAAACTGGAGAAGGGCTGCACCCATGGAAAATAAGTCAAGCAACCAAAAGGAAATTTCAAAAAATCTCCATTTCTTCATCGTTTCCGACTCTCCCTCCCCTGTTGTCTATTTGTATACACATACAGCAGAGGGCACCAAACATTTTTTATGCTGCATAATGGTAAAAAATGAGAACAATCAAACTAATAGACAGACTGCGTTTTGTACCTAAGAAAATCTTAGAGTTATTTTATTGCCTTCCAGGATGCTCAGTGTGTACATACATCTCACAACACAAGCCTGATAAAAGGTGTTGCCGTTATCCTCACCTTACTAAAGGGGAAAAGACAAATGAAATTATTCACATGAGATATCTGTGGCAGATATAGAAACGGACCTCAATCTTTTCAGTTTTCAACTAGAACTCTGAATTCTGGCTGCAAACTCCCCCTTTTTTCTCTCATTTCCTTTAAAAATTCCACCTCCCAAAGAGCAAATGATTCAGTCTAATTCAGAAATTATATCATTCGTATCGAGATCTTCCTACAATAAAGAGATGAGGAAGTCAAAGAATGATCTAATGTTTATAGGTCTAACAGTTATTACAGATTGCCAAATTATATGCACGCCCTGAGTCATACTTTTGATAAAATGTTGAGCAGCCTCTTCAGGTCTGTCTGGAACTCTGATAAACCTATGCTCACTGACACCAAGCAAGGATTAAGCTAGGATTGATTCAGGTAGAAATGCAGCAAAGACAACTCCTTATACTCCCAAAAATGAAAGAGGAGCTGAGCATTTACCAAAAAATCCAACACCTTTCAATCCCCCTCTCCTTGTGTTTACAGTCACAGTCTCCTTGTATATACAGTTTTGCAACTGTGCAAAAAACGTTCTTCTTCTAGAGATGACTAAAGAAAATGTTGCAGCATCAATCCAACCAGATTCCAAAAACTGGTCCCCAGGCAGCTGTAGAAACAAAGGAAGGAACTAAGAGTCTAGAAGCCCTATCTTGTTGAAATCTGCATGCAGCTCTGAGGAAAGCTAAGAGCCAAAGCTGTAGTAAGGGACAGTAGAACAAAACAATCCCAAGGGCAGTTTGTCCTGCGGATGTGGAGAGAAGGATAAAAAGAAAAAAGCTGAGCCTAGGAAAAGTTGGATGGCGACAGGCCCAGGAATTTACCTTTGAGCACCAGGGACTTCAGGTGCGTCAGATGAGGAAGGATGCCCAGTGTGGTGCCGAGGAGGCAATCGTTGCTGCTGAGCCGGAGGAACTCCACCTGGACCACCTCTCCCTGCCGCCCCTCGAACAGCCGGAGGAACCGGTGGCAGCCGTCAGGATAAACATCCAGGTTCAGCCTGTTGTCTGCAAGGCAGGAGCCAGCGAGAGCAGCAGCCCCTGAAGCCCCCTCCCTGCACTCGTCCCCCAGCCCCAGCAGCTCTGCCATCTTCTGCGTCTCCTCCGCGGGGTCCGGACATGCTCTGACTTGCTGGGTAGGCAGGCACTGGCAGCACCACGAGGCAGCCGGGACGAGGAGGAGGAGGAGGAGGAGGAAAGATGGCACTGAAAGAGAACACAAGTGCACGATGAAGGCTTCCTGCCCCGGCCCGGAGTGACGGGAAACAGTTTATAATCACAGCAAGAGGGCAGAAGGGATTACACGTGTGTTACTGAAAGCTTTGTTGGCAGAGAGCACAGAAATGCAGGGTGACGGATGCCACGGAGGCTTCTCCTAGGGAAAACCTGAGTTCTCCTAGCCGACATCTTGGCAGGGAATGGAGCAATTACCCATCAGAATAAACAGCAATATTAACTTTAAAAGATACACATGTAAATGACTATGCCTGAGACAGATTTCAAAGTGCCTTAGCGGGAAGCTTTACAAGTGGAGGGGGAACCCAGGGCAGGGAGGGCCAAGCCAGGAGCAGAGCCCAGAGTCTGCAAAGGGTCCTCATCGAACCCGGCTGTGAAACTGGGTGCCAACGAGATAAAAGTGAACATAGATGAAAACAGGCAAAGGGCAGCAGGGCAAACGTGGCAAGGCAAGGGAAGGGGTTAGAAAAGGCACATCCGCAGCACAGGAGCACTCGACTGAGCAGTGGGACTGGGGCTCTTGGCAGATTTTGCCTCCACAGGGATACTCTGACACAACAAAGCAGGCACGAAGCCATGGCCGGCTAGTTACCAGCCAGTCCTTGTTTCCTCCCCTCACAGCACCCTCCACGGATAAAGAGAAAGGGGAAAAGTAGATATTACACAGTGCATGCTAAGAAGGGTTTAAACCTCAAGGAGCAGAGGTTTGAAATTTGAACAAATTAATTATTCCTCTGCCCTCTTAGTGTGAAGAAGCCTTCACCCACCTAGGACTTTTAAAATCAGCCACTACCATCGTAGCACACTGGTAGTGCAAAGATGAGCAGAGGCACCACACTTGCTTTTATACCGGTAGTCACATCCTTCTAAGTTCCCCGCTTCCTGCTCTTTCCACTTCCTTTATCTTTTGCGACTCCTCCTGAGCTTGGCAATTAAACTAGCTTATGGTGTGAATACCAGGAGTTCTTTTTAAACCCTGCCATGGATCGAACAGAAGTTTCTTTTTGATTGAGTGGTGCAGAACTACAAAAAACTTGTAACGGCTTTAACGCCCAAGGCCAGCAGAAGCCAGCTAACGCCCCTGCAGCACGCTGAGGAGCAGTGCTTTTTACTGTGAACCTGTGGGACACGGCAGCACTGATGTTCCCAAAGCACAGTCTAGGGGCAGGCATCACACCCGACTGACTCCCTGAAAGAGCAGAAACCTTATAAGGACAGGAAGAGCAGGTAAATGGAAATGACCGCTTTAGTGAAAAGGTGTTTCTTACAAGAAAGCTTTACACGACATATACACAGCTCTCTTGTAGATAGGCATAAGCAAAAAGACCGTCTGCTCTAGCTTTGTAAAGCTATCGAGGGTGAAGGAACCAGAGGGCAGGTCTGAACTGGCCAGGCTGGAGAGGCTGGGAGACCACAGGCGCAGCCTCAGGCGTGCGTGCAGGACACGGGCAGGCACCCTCGTTCACACACAAACACACACACACACACACACTCGCCCCGGCCCGTCCTCACTGGCCCTGTGGCCAGCTCCGGCGGCCCCAGGCCCCCATTTCCTCACACCCCGAGCCGAGGCGCAGCCCGCGGGCCCCCCCCCCCCCCCCCCCCGGCAGGCCCTACAGCCCAGCAGCCCGGCCACGCGTGGCTCACCCCCTGCGCGCCCAGTCCCGGGCACACAAACCCCGGCTCCCGACAGCCCGGCCGGGGCTCAGCTCAGGCGCTTCCTGCCGAGTTTGCGGGCGAGCTGCGCCGCCGGGGCGGGACAAACCAGAGGAGGTACCAGATGCAGCGGGACGAAGGGCAGGCGGCTTTGTGGAGCCAGGCCCAGGCGTCCCGCCGTCACCAAAGTGTCACGGAAAGGCGATTTTTCCTGTCTCCACGGCCCCGTCCCGTCCCGCTGCAGCTCCCCTGGGCTCGCGCGTGAGCTCAGCCCGCAGGGAACGGGAAGCAGGGGCATCTCCTGGTGCTGGGCTCAATCCGCTGCGAATTTGGGAAGAGACGCGCAGCGGGAGCGGGGGCTTTCGGGTCTGGCAGGGCAGAGGCTGGGGGCTGCGGAGCCAGCGCCCGCGTCCACGCGCGCCGTCCCCGCCAGCCGCTCCCACGCCAAGCCCCGCGGTGTTGCGCCGCTCTGCGTTTCGCTCAGAGGGGCGAAGCTGGGGTTTTTTACTGTCACGGCGAGTTTCCGGAGAAGTGCCCCTTGCTCAAAGCTGCAGTGCCCCGAAGGAGATTTCCCTCCCCACAGGGAGCAACCGCTAACCCCTGGCTGCTCCTCTGAAGCGCTTCCACAGTTATAAACGGGATGTTTTCTGGGGGCACTGGTGACGGGAGAGCGCGCTCACCCGCGCAGGGGCGGAGGGGGGTGATACCTGCCAACTAAGATTATTAGAAAATAGATATTCATGGAATAGAATTATCAAGATCAATTTATGATGTTTTAGCCATTTAACAATTGTGCTGCAGAACAAATGCGGATCTTTTGAGGAATAGTTGGAATAACTGTAGGATAAAGCACTCATAAATAATCTTACTGGAGGTGGTTCAGCCTTGTAGTGGCAGGTGCAAAGAAACATAAAGAAGCTGCAAATTAGCAACAAAACCAGAGCAGGCCAGCCTGGAAGGACGAGATGTGTATGACCACAGGACTGAGCTTGCGCAGAAGTAAGGGTTAACGGGTGGACACAGTGAAGAAGACTACGAGCCTTCATCTGAAGGCCCCTGATGACCACCTGAAAACTCCCAACAGACACGCGTGAGAGACATTAACATATGCTAAATGAGTTGCCGGAAAAGTTATGAATATGATAAAAAATGCAATGAATATGTATGATTAAGGTAATATAAATGCTTGTTGATTTCATTCCCACACACACATTAGGAGGAGCTCGCCCCTGGGCATCAGGCGCTGTGATAAAGGACGCCTGCTTTCTAAAACTCCAAAATTGAGTCTTAGAGAGTGAATTAATTCCCACTTTCCGGTAACACGGGGACGGACAACGCCTTTGCACAGCGCTGCTGCTGAGGCGGGCCCCGGGCATTCTGGCACAATGTTAACTTTTCACTTTTCCTCGTTTCCCTAATCCAGGAGGAAATGAGGCAACCCACGCCGGGCCAGTAACTCCTGTAGCCCCGCGGCGAACTCGGGACTCCCGTGGGGGCTTTTCCTCAGCGGCGGGGCCCGCGCTGCCCGGGAGCCTCGCAGGGCCCGCCAGGTTTTTGAGGTGTGTGGGGGGGAAGGGGTTAAAAAGAAAAAAAAAAAACAAACAAACGCGCCCTGAAGCGGAAAATCGGTTCCGGCGGTGCGGGACCGCTCTGCGCATGCGCCACTGACGGCGCGGCGGCCGCAAAACCCGCGGGCTCGCCATTGGCCTGCCTGCTCGCCGCCGGCCTGGCCCAATGGCAGCGCTCGTTGTTGAGGGGTGACGGGAAGAAGGCGTTGCCGAGGCCCCGCCCCTTCCTTTCCGCCGCTAGGCTGCCGTCACGAGCGCGCCTCTTCCCTCTCTCTCTCCCGTTCGCGCCGCTGCCCCCCCCTTCCAGGTAAGCGCGCGGTGGTTCTCCAACCCCCCCCCCCCCCCCCTTGCGAGAATAGGCGCTCCCGGCTCACGCGTCCCGCCAGCGTGCCTTGGGCGAGACCACCTGGGGGGGGGGGGGGGGGGGGCGGGAATGGCGGCCATGTGCTCTCCCGGCCTGGGCCTGCGGAGGGACGCGGCGGTTTCGCGCCGCGGTTAATGGCTAGCGGGGGGCCGGCCCGCTCCCCGCCGCGCCGGCTGCTGCCGGCTCTGAGGGCCCCCGCCTCTCTCGCTTTGCAGGATGCGCTACGTCGCGGCGTACCTGCTCGCGGTCCTCGGTGGCAACGACTCGCCCACCTCGAAGGACTTGAAGAAGATCCTCGACAGCGTTGGCATCGAGACGGACGATGAGCGCATGAACAAGGTGGCGTCTCCTCCCGCCCCACACGGCCGCGGCCCCTCCAGCAGCAGGCCCGTGGCCTCAGTACTTCTTCAGTTGCCTTGCGGTCCTGATCTCGTCTTATTTTGCTCAGCCGCGCGCTGATCATTTCCGAGATGCTGCTTAACCAGTCGCGACCCTTTTGACAAAGTCCTTGGGGAATCTGGCTTGCTTATTTACCAGCAGCCAGTCCTCTGCAAAGGTCTGCCAGCTCTTGCTGACTTCTGACCGTCCAACCTAATAATTTTCAACGGGATAGTGGCTACAGATAAGCGTGTATTGAAAATAAGTCCTGACATAATGCGTAGCTTCCACTTAATGTTTAAATTTGGCCTTTGCTCAATATTGATTCAAAGCTAACGCTTTGAAGGACTAGTATTCAGTAACAAATTCTTATTTAGCATACTGCAAAGAAGTATTTGCTCCTTCACCAAGAAATGCAGGCAAATTGTAACATTAAAGGTATTCAGTAGTAATATGTAGGAAGATTTTGGAAATGAGATGCTGAAATGGTTGTGTAGAAAACCAGGCTTTTAAAAAGAGAGAGTATCGGAATTAGAATGTTTCCTGTGATATAATAGACTTTCAGCCTTGTGGACTTAATAAATGATCATAGGGAAAAAACAAACAAGCCAATGAAAAAAAAGTGCCCCATACTTGTATGCAGAGTATTTCTAGTGAGGTGGAGGGAAAAAAGTTATTTTTGCAGGTGGAGACAGTTTTGCAATAGACCCAACCAGAGGATGGGTTGACTGAGCTGACAGCATCCTTACTATGGTTTGGGGTGTTGGTTTGAATTCCTGGTGCTCCTGTGTAAACGCCAGGTCTTTTGGCTTTGGTTTAATATCTTTGTAAGTTAGTTTTTTTCTCTGATCCTCCAGTATCCAGAAAGCTTCTCTGGAATTTGTTTGGGCCATGATTTAATTAATCCGTTTTTATTTGCATTGGCTTTGTCTTATGCCAGCGTAAATCTAGTGAAGTCTTAAAAACACCTTCCTTCCAGATGAAGCAAGAGCACAGGCACAGTGTTTCAGAGATGATTTTGGAGATCGCACGCTCTGTGTAAGCGTGCGGTGCCTGTTGAAAAGCTCTTGCTTAAAAAAGGTCCGTTGGCAACTCAGCAGTATGGTGTGGGTTTTTTTTTTCTTTGCCTTCTTGTTTTTAAAGTGCTTGCTTGCTTGAGCAATTTTTGGGTTTGTGTTTTGCTTTCCTCACCCCTGGTTATACAACGATGGTAGTAAAACTGAAGTTGGAACTCTCTGTTCCAGTGCAAGGATACAACGGCCATCCTGGCTGTAACGTTTGGTAAGGGCAAGAACAGGGCCCTGTGGGGTTTGGTCTGGGGCCCTGTGCTTCGGAGCCTCCCAGGGGGTATTGAGCAAGAGGTGTTAGCAGTCCCTCAGTGAGTAGCTGACCATTAGTGGGGTTTCCTAATTGGCTCCGCACCATCTGTGTATCCTTCTTTCTGCAAGGTCCTTAGATTCATTATGAGTTTATTGTAACAGATTTCATGAAAAAGCTTTCACAGAACAGTATAAAAGACTTAGCTGACGTTTTCGTTTCAATGTCTTGTTCCTTCCACTGAGAAATAAGGAATGTTGGGGCTGTACAAGCAGCAAGATAAGCAACAGAAGGCACTGCCCATAAAGATTAATCAGTACTTGTTTAAATGTAGCTAATACTCATGCTGTTTTGAAACTTTTAACATTCTAAACTTAATTTACACAGGTTATTAGTGAGCTAAATGGAAAAAACATTGAGGATGTCATTGCTCAGGGTAAGTACAGAGTGTCACGGGTAATTGCTTCTGCCACTTCAGTAACTTAGACCTGAGAGTGTAGAATTGCTGCCAACACCCTGATTATTCATCGGTTTAGCTTTGCAGTTGAGGACTTCCATGCTGGATCCCAGCTGAAATGACTGAAATCCAGGTCCATTCTAATTCTCTGCAGGTTGGTGCCAGTACCTGCTGGGTTTCGCTTGTGGACCACATTAAACTGGAAAACTTAAGCACGTGTGAGCTTACTGATAGTCTGCTCATGATGTAGTTTTCTGGACATGTTGATTGGAGAAAGAATTAGCTGTCCTTCAAGTTCTCTGGGAGATTTTTTCCTTTGCGTTTACCCTCTTGTATGCACCAGTTATGTAAAACAGGAAGAACAGACTGTTAAATGTCAGTGTCAGTTCACATTAAGGGTAGAGTTACACCCTCTGCGATTAATACAAGCCTCTCCAGTACACATGTCTTCTAGAGCTCCCCGAGTCTGGCATTCCCTTTTCTCTCAGGTAGGACTCGGAGCGCCGGCTTCTGTACAAGCTTGTGCTCTTACCTGCTGGCTTTTACCAAAGCCGCAACATTTAACATGGGCTGGGTCACAGGGCTGAAATCGGACCCGAGGTAGTGCAAAGGTTTCTGATTAATTCATTTCTGTTTTTATGGAAGTGTGTAGGCACAAGGGAAATTTTAGGCATCTATTTGCTTAAAGGTTGCCAGGACTTTGCTTGGCTTTGCTGTTGTGAGCAGTAATTGGACATTTCTATCTGTGTGGTCTGAAGAGAGTCGTTATGCATGTGCTTACAACATTTATGCTATTTCTTTCTGTAATACTTGAAATAAATTGTTTCCTAGAACATACTGACATGCATATAAAACATGTTTGTTTACTTTGCTAGTTTATTAGAGCTTGAAGTAACGGGGAATTGTTTAGAAACTGATTCCCAGAAATTGGAATACAGGCAAACATAGTGTGTACACGACCTCTGAATGCCACAGGAACCTTGGTATGTGAAAGGCAGCTGCCAGACAGCTAGCTAGCTTTCCAAAGACAAGCATAAATCAGAACTGGGTTTACTAATCTCAAAGGAGGTGCAATAGAGTTCATAGGGGGCTGGAGAATTTGTGTAAAATACTGTACTCCTGGCCATAAATACGTTTCTCCCCTCACCCCCTTCTCTCCTGTGTGATCCAGTCATGCCCTCACAGTTTTTTATACCCTTAAAAAAAGATGGGGGAAGCCAGTGCTGCCTATGTGTTACTTTTGAGGTATATTAAAAATATAAATTTCTGGGCTATTATGTTGTATTCAGAAAACAGACAGGTTTCCCGTATATGTAAAAATGGATATGTTCGCCACTACTTTTGTATGATAGTTTTGTAAAAAAAAAAAAAATTAGGGGACTTTGTGTGCAGAAGAAAAACTTACTAATGATGTGCTGTCAGTGTTCTCAGGATAAGCTTTTGTCAATCTTCAACTCTGATTCATTTTTTTTTTTTTTCACATAATAGTTTATGCTTTCTTATCATGGGTGCAACCTTGTGTTCCTTTCAGCCAACTGTGACAGCTTCAGTCCATGAGACACAGTATCTTTGTTTTCTGCACTCTCAGGTCTCTTCCTTCTCACCTCATCTCTCTGCTTGTGATGAACATTTAAATACCTTCTCTTCTGTCCCACACAGGTAACGGAAAGCTTGCCAGCATGCCTGCTGGGGGAGCTGTGGCAGTGTCTGCTGGGGGGGGCTCTGCTGCTCCTGCTGCGGCTGCCGCCCCTGCTGCCGGTGAGTATGAGTGGAGAGGCACTGTTACAGGGCAGCTCCGTTTTTCTCTGTTAAAATCTTAACAGTTGAGTCCAAATTTCAAGGCTTTTCCACTCTGGCAGTTTACTGTGTCACTGAAGTGTAAACTGAACAGTTACTTTTCCTTTGGGCAATCAGAAGCATTTGCTCTTTACCCACCTTAAGATTGGTCTGGCTTAGTGAAGTCTGGCTGGTTCTCAGTTCTGTGTAAAGCATATGCCTTCAGTGGTAGTGTCTGTGCCCCCTTGGTGTTTATATTTGGCTATCAGAAGGGAATGAGATAAACCATGGAGCTTGAAATACCAATAATGTGGAAGCTGAGAATGCCAGAAGGTGTATCTTTAAAATCTGTGGTGCAAAAAATAAATACTAACTGTTGGCTTGGTTTTTTTCTTCCTCTTTAGCTGAGGAGAAGAAAGAAGAGAAGAAGGAAGAATCTGAAGAATCTGATGATGATATGGGATTCGGCCTATTTGATTAATTATTTGTTATAGAGAAATTAAAATTCTTTGTTTTAAATTGGTTTTGAGTTTCTTATTTTAACCATACAAGTGCTGTTCTTGAACAGCTGTTCTTGAAATAGTTCTGACAGAGCTTTGATTTTTAACTGTCTGAAACAGGTATGTGAATATTCTGACAAGCCATGAGACTCAACTCTTAAAAGTTCTGCGGAAGTGGCTAAGCTTTTCTGAACCCAGATGCTTGTTTTGACACTGCTCTTTCTTAAACACTATGTGGAAGATCGATCTACTGGCTGTTGAATTAAGTTCACCTGGCCCATACTATTTTGCCATCCCAGTTACTCAGGAAAGAGTCCCATCTATTCAGCAACAAAAGGATTTTATTTTTTCAGGACTTTTAATGAATTCCAAAACATGTGAAACTGAATAGACAGCAGGTCAGAATTAGTCCAGAAACTATAATTTCAGAGCTAGTTACAGTTATTAGTTTTTTGTAAATATCTAAAAGCACAAATTGCATCACTGTGTCAGTTTTCCAAGATCTAGGGACAACACCAGTAAAACGTGTGACTGTGCTTGGATTTCATGTTACATCTGTGTGCTTAACATAGAATCTGTAACACAAATACTGCAGCCTGCTCTTTGTGGGACACAAATCAGTGCCAAGGTGCTCTTCAGACCGAATGGTTGTTCTGGGGGTAGCTGAACCCTAAGGATGTGGATCACCTTGATCTGGACAGAAAATAAGCTTCTGTGAGGATAATGGTATTTCTGGAGAACTGAAACTGATCTCTGGTGTGCCCAGAAGTATGTATCAGCTTGGGAGGACAGTATATTTTGCTTTTATAAAGTGTCTTCTGCTAGGAGATGGTTCTGGCAGGCAACTTACCCTGATTTCTACAGTGGCCTTTGGCTGTCACCGCAGGCAGGTAGAGTACACGTAGCAAATGTGATGATCTTCCCATACTGAGTCTCCACAGGTAGTGTCAAAAAGAGGTGTCCCGGAGCAGTCTGTATTGTGGAGTTTTTCCAACATGGTTGTTTTGGAAAAAAAAACAAAAGAGCTATGTTGGTTATGAGTCATTGGACAAAGTGTGGTAAGTACTTCTGAGAGGAGAGATGGGTGAAATCCAAGTAGGAAAAACTATTTTATCTCCCTGTGGTGTACTGCGAGAAAACGCCCATTACTTCACAGCAGCCAAGGGAGAGAGCAGTTGAAAGTTAGATCCTCAGACCTCAAAATGGCCATGATGTAAGCAGCTAACCCTTGCTGCCTTTCTGTGCCTGCTGCAAGGAAGAGTTACAGGAGGTAACAGTGCCAATACCTTTCATCTACTTTGTCTCTCAAGTCCTAGCATGGTGATCTTTGTGGCAGTAACGAAAACTGCTCGTGTTTGCTCTAGTTCTGTCCGACTCGTAATGGCTGTGGTTTGGCACTGGGAGGGGTGCAGGTATAGCTGTGATTTTTTTCCTTGCTGATTTCTCTGTTCTGGAAAAAATGGTTCTTGGATTGGATGTGGTTTTACTCAGAGGTAACCCTCCCACCCTGCGATGTTGCTGTGCTTGGCTGCAAGAGCAAAGTCAGTGTTTTCACAGGAACTGCCCTGTCACGCCACTCGGCAGGGTTTTCCGTGCACGAAGGAATTTGGTTCAGCAGCACTGAGCTATTCCATGAGTTTTGCTGTGCCCGGACCTGTGGGATGAGACAGACCTGTGGTGCTAGCTGCCTGGCTACTGGGATGAGGGGACCACTCGACTAACTTCTTGACTAACTTCTTTCCCCTAGTTTTCTCTTCTTCAGTTAAACCTTGAGTTATAGACCTGATCCTGTGCTGGGTGTCCTCTTACTGCCTTTAAATTCCTCCTGAAAGTGCATCATTTTGATGCAAACTCCTGTTGCTCAATCTGCTTTGAGAAAGAGAGGACAGCTCATTTGGTAAACTGTTTAGAGAAGAAACCTTTTGGGGCAGCTCTTGGAGAAAGCACTGAACATCCAGCATTTGTTACACTGCCACAGGGAGCCTGTAGGCATTCCTTCTGAATGCAAAATCAAAGCATTTTAAGCTTTTATCCCCTGTACCTATTTACAAAACAGTTGTCACCCGGTGACTTCGTACATGAGCAACAATGTGCCTGGAAGTCTGTTGCAGACTCATTTGGTGCTCTGGATGGAGTTCACCAGTCCCTCCTCTGCTGATCTCAATGACCTTCAGCTATGAAGGAGTTGGGATCCTTGTTCCTTCTATGTGGACGCTGTTCTGAATTTTCAAGTATCACTGCTGCTTTTTCAGATTTAGCAATTCTATTTCCAAAGGCAAGGGTAACGTTGGGGTGGACGGGTCGTATTCCAGGATGCTCTCAGAGAAAATTAGTGCGTCCAGATTCTTGGAGTGGTGGCCTAGTCTGTCTCCTTGCAGAATCAATTTTAGTTAGAACAGATTTTTCCTGACTTCTTATGAAGAGGCTCAAAGGCATCGAAGGAAAGGATAGCCTTGTGCCTGGAGATTACACCGGTAACTGATCATTACTAAATTGACAGTAGGGGAGAGTGATTTAGTCACAGGCTTGACGTTAGAACATGCAAGCTTTCCTCAGTGGGACACAAATGCTGTGCCATCTTAAATCAGCTCCAACTGAAAATCATTCTTGACAAAGCATGGGGCAGGGAGAGTGACATGACATCTTCACTACTTGGAAAGCAGGGAAAATGTCCTGGACACTGCTGAAAAGTAATAAGCAAGGGCTCCCTGGGGCTGCTGTCAAATTAATGGATTTCACTCTTACTACTAAGGCACAATTTTGCAAGCTGCTACATGCAGGCAGTCCTGCTGAACTCGGTAGGTTTGACTTACGGAGGACAGAGATATCTGTAGTAGTTGCTCTGTTGCCTGAGGAGATGATCCTATGAAGCAAGTCCCAAGAGTTTGCCATGGAATTGTCCAATATATGCAAACATCATCACAGGCAAGAAAAAGACATTGGTGTCAGGCTTTCCAGTGATGTTAACAGCACTCGGGTTGGTCTTCAGGACCGGTGTCCCAGTCTTGCTGACTACAGGCAACAATACGAAAGTAACGTGCCGAAGACAAGTATAACAGGCTGCCTCTCAGCTTCCCTTTAAAATTAATTCCCGTTGTCTGCCAACAACCAAAGTCTTGCCTGAAAAAACATTTTTTGTTTGTATGTTATCTCATATGTACCAACTGCTCACCATTCATTAGACTAGAAAATAAATGCATCAGAGAGATTGCATGAGAAGCTGTCTTGGTGGCATCACAACATGTAAGGGCACAAGTGAACTTGCAGTGTCCTGATAGGAGTTTGATACACATGAAAAGCTGCCATCTAAACCTTGCTGACCTGCCTTATTGCAGGATTATGAGCAATTACAGGATTCTGGTAGTACTTTCTTCTTGAGGAGAAAAAGATTAGTTTCAGGGGATGATTTATTTTTGAGAAAAACAGTAGTTTGCCAGGCTGCTAAGCGCCAGTGCCCAGGCAGCACTCTGCAAGAGATTACTGTTCACATGGTTTATTTCATTAACCTGTTTCAACAGGGCAGTGTTAACCTCCTCAAACAGGTAACCTTGAAGGCCAAGGCAGAGTGGAGTGATGTAAACAACTCAGGATGAGATAGATGTTGAGAAATCAAGTGAAACTAATCCCAGCATTGTCGCAGTATTGTTATTTATTTTCCAGAGATAGTAGGAACCTTAATGTTGTGAAATGCTGAAAAAAGAGGAAGCAGCGTTAGCTTGGGAACGAAGCTGTTCTTGTGGTTAGGAGGTATCTGCAAACAAGGTTCAGTATTCAGTTTTGCCACAGATTTCCACTGAAGTCACAGCCCATTGACTAGTGCAGCACAATCGCTGCTCTGGAAAATGCAAGATGCAATGTTTTCTTTGGGTTTGGCTACTTGGAAATACCTTTCCATGTCACCAGAAGCACAGGGTGAAAGTGCTATGATTGTCTTGGTGTTGAGGGTCTTTAAGAGGGTCAGGGCTCAGGTGTGCCAATGCTCACCTCTGCAGGTGGAGGAGATGAGAGCTGACAAGGGTTACGTAACAACATTAAACACCCGGGAGGAAGGAAGTTACAAAAGCAAGCAGCGGTAGGGGAGGAAGAGAAAGGGTGTGTATAAGGGCATAAACAGAGGACTTGAGATAAGTGGGGTTAATTATTTAGGTGCTCCAGGATGGAGCTAATATGTCTCCTGGGTAGTTCCTGGCAGCTAGGTGAGGTGGTGGGCTCCAGAGGAGGGACCTGGAAGAAAGGTGAGGCTGGACTCCTGCCTGGCTGATGGAAGGAAAGTGCAAACATTTAGTGAAGAAGTATTCCACCTGTAGAAGCTAGAGCATGACGCCTAACTTGAGCTCAAATACTGGATTTATACAAGGGTTACCTGCTGAGTTTGGTTGCTTCAGTCAGATGACTGTGAGGCAGTAGCGGTTCTTAAAACCTGGATGACCCCTATACGGGATGGGTGCCAGCCTCCCTCCTGTCCTTTGAGAGGACGTTTGGGGTGGAGAGAACAGGAGAGGGGCTATTTGGATGACCTCCACTAACATAATTGGTGAAATTCCTTTGAGGAGGAAGGCCTAGCTTTGTAGAGCCTGAGAGTTGTTAAGGACGGGTATAATATTGTCCCAAATGAGAAACTGCTGACCAGTAATAAGAAAATGAATGCAAATAGATTTATGCCAAGATGAATTAAGTATTAAAAAAAAAAAAATAACAAACTTTTGGTAGAAAGTGCTTTTGTTTTACGGTGATTCTATTAAAAAACACTTTTGCTTTTTGTTTTGTACTGCTCAAACCTCCTGTTTGCTGAGCTTGCTGCCTTGCTTTGAGTTGAGCAGCTGCTTCTCTTGCTATGCTGGTCCTTTTGATCTCCCTGTAAACTTTCGCTCTCATCTAATTGATTGAATGACTACAGCCTGTATAGGTTATGACAAGGTAATCTTTTCACCATCTGAAATCTACTTTGACCTCCTAGCAGCACTGGCTGAGACCTACTCTGTGGCGAGCTGATATACCATGGGCTTGCCTGTGCTAAGTGAAAATTGCACTTGCCCATGACCCCAGGTAAGTGTTTTGGTGAGCTTAGAGGCATGTAGAGAAAACCGCTAAGAGAAGGTTAGCAAAGGTAAGCAGCTGTATGGGTTTTAGTGGGCAGAGAAAGTTGTTAAGAGTGGGGCTGCTGTGGTTGCGCTGAGCCTTGCCTCCCTCCGGCTCTTTATGAAAAGGGAAAGCTTCTCCCTTTCCCTCATGTTTCGTGCCCATCTCCCGAAAAACAAAGGGCTGTACTTGCAGAAAACTCCCAACAACTTGGAGCAGAGGCCTCCAAGAAACAGCGTGTTTCGCGGGGTGGGGGGGGGGGAAGGCAGGCGGCCGCCCTGGTACCCGGCGAGGTCTGGAGAGCCGCGATCCCCTCCTTTCCCCCTTCCCCTCGGAGGAACCCACCCGGACACGCTCCGTGGGCGGCGGGGCCCCCGCAATGCCCTGGGGGCCGGCAGCTGGGGTTCACCGGAGGAAGGGTTGGGAGGAGGCGCCGGCGGCTTCCCGCCCCCTCCGCCGGCCGGGGCGGGCCCCTCCGCCGCATTATAAGCTCCGGCGGCTGCCGCCGGCACCCCAGCGGCGAGCCCGGCCGTGCGAGCTAACCGGGGCACCGGCGTCTCCCAGCTCCCGTCCTCCGCCCCGCCCGGTGTGCTCTGAGGGGAGACCCGCCGTTTCCCTTCCCCGTCGCGGCTGCGTCCTTCCCGCCCCCCCCCCCCCCCGCCTTCAGCGGGAGCGGAGGCCATGTTCCCCCCGAACTCCACCTGGAATATCTCCTTCGCCGGCTGCGGCTTCCTGGGGGTCTACCACATCGGGGTAGCCAGCTGCCTGCAGGAACATGCCCCCTTCCTCGTCGCCAACGCCAGGAAGGTCTACGGGGCCTCCGCCGGGGCGCTCACCGCCACCGCCCTCGTCAGCGGCGCCTGCCTCGGTAAGCGCGGGCCGGGCGGCTGCCGCAGCCCGGCGCTCCCCTCAGACTCTTCCCTTCGTCGTTATTAATTTTTTAATTACAACAGCAGCGCGGGGGGTGTGTGTGGGGGTATGGGGTGTTGGGGAGGTGGAAATAGCGCTCCGCCCTCCCCCTCATCCTTCCTAAACGCGGTCGGCGCTTTGTTTTTGGGGCCTTTACCTCAGCGTTTCCCCGGTCCCTGCGTGCCTCGGGCTGGGGGTGTCGGGGGGGGGACGGACGGACCTCGGCCCCGCGAGGCGGCGAAACGCGCGGGCCGCTGTCCTGCGTGGGTGGGTCCCGCGGCGGGGGACCCGCGCTGAGGGTCGGCACAGCACAGGGGGCCCGGCTTTGATCCCCGCCGCAGTAAGGCGGGCTCGTGAGGGGGCTCGGGGCTCGGGTTTAGATTGCGTGGGTGCGGGTATGGGGGGGGGGGGCTGCTGGCGGGGAGAGGAGCCGACCCCTCGCTCTGTAGGATCTTGGTGGCTGCGAACGGGAGGCAAAGCGGCTGGAGACACCGAGCAGCGTGTTGCGTGGAAGGATTCTGGTTAGACAGCATCTTCGGCTAGGAAATCTCTATTCTTTCTTGGCATCTTCATTCCTGGAAGTGGGTTATTCCTCAGGGTGTAGGGAATTTTCTTGCCCTCTGCGAGAGCTAGATCTCCACTTCAGCTAGATGCTATCTCTGTTTTCAAGTTACAGAAGAAACCTTAAAAATTTATCTCTGAAGCAGGCACGCCGCGTAGTGTGTCCCTGCTTAGGGCATGTCTGGGGAGCAGCTGAAGAGAATGGTGCGTGGTGCCTCCTGTTTTTTGCTGTTTTGAAGTTCAGCTGTTTTGCATATGGGGGGGAAAAGTCAACAAACACATGCTACTGTACTTGAAAGCTTTTATTCTGAGAATAACAAATGCGGAAAAGTATCTTAAACTTGAGAGGGGGAATGTGATGTGGGAGAATCTGGTATATCTATTTAGTCTCAGAGAATTACGAGCCTCTCCTAGAGCCAAGTGAAACCAGAGCTGTTTACTGCTTGAACCCCTCACCTTGATCACAGGTGACTTTTCACAGCACACTCTGTTCTCTGGGGACAGATAGAGTTTTGAGATGTAGCCTTCATGCAGCAAAAGTTACCGTTTTCTGTGTAGTGGGGTTTGAAGCTTTCCCCTCACTTAGCATTTTGTTTACAGAGATGCCCAATGGGGTAAACAGTTGTTTCTGGAGCTTGTTAGGAAGCTCTTAGCAGCTGTTCAGATCGCAGTCTGGGATCTCAAAGGCTGTAGTCATGCCACGGTGCTACTTTTTATTGTGGACAAGGGAAAAGGCCTCCTCTAATACCTTCTTCTGCAGGGATCCATTTGCTGATAGCTGTCAGGGATTTGGTTGTTTTACTTGGGGTTCCCTCTGTTGAAGAGGTGGCTGCCCAATTAGTGCCCTAACTGGGTGGTCCTCCCTGTTCTACTTGACGGTGTCCCCTGAACATCAGACAGGCTGGCGGTAGTGCCCAAATCCTTGCCTTGCTCAGATGCCATTATAATGCTGAGCAAGTCTGTTATCATGTCTACCTTGTTCTTGCTATTGATATGCCCAGAGCATCCATGGTGCTCTAGGCGTTGCCCTCAGGGTGTTACCCAGCCTGGTAGAGAGCTTTCTGTGAATTGGGATTGGAATAGGATTTCCCACTCCCTGTCAGGTACGAGGGGAGGCATGGTAATGAGGACAGAGTTAGGGGCCACCTTCTAGGCAGCACTCACCACCCTCCTGAAAGAGCACAAACCATGCTGTTTAAAGCCAGCCAAGGCCTGGATTTTGGGTGTTTAAATTCTGTCTTACGTTTGACTTCTATGGGATAGTTTTCTTTTGACTCTGTCAGTGTGGCTGGCATGTATCTTGGGTAGAGAGCAGCTCTAAGGCAACAGAGCTGACTTCTGAAAGTAAAAGCAGATGGGGTGCTTGGTTGGGGCATGGTATCAATGCACTTTGTCCCTGTCGTAAACCCTCCTGACAGTGCCGATTCCCAGCTGAGGTCCAGGGGTTAGAATGAAATCATAGGGAAAGAGGGGATGAGGCGGAAGGTATAGCTGCAGCCTGTGCTGGGAGAGCAGTTCATCCCAGCACAGGCTGTGGTAGGACCCTGAGCATCTGTGTTGTGCCGTGCAGCTGGTTTCTGCCTGAGAGTAGCTGTAATAGTCCGTGAGCTTTGAAGCTTGTGGCAACTGCTACCCTGTGCTGTCTGTTGCCTTGTCCATTAAATCGAAATGCATAAATAGTGTCTCTTGATGGATGACAAGCAGAGGGGAATCTTGCAGAAGCCTTTCTTATTTGGCTGTGTGTAGGAAAGGTTTGTGCCTTCGTGCATCTGTACTTGGCTCTGAACTCGGTGAGACTCTGCTGTGCAGATAAATGCCTCCTTTGGGATTTTTCTGTGGTTCCAGTCCTTTGAGACCCTGATCAGAGAGAACAGAATTTTTCCTGGACTTCAGAGTATAAGATATCACTTAGTGGTTTCTTTTCCAGCTTTTTCCTTCTGGCATTTGTATCTGTTCAGCTTGCCCCTGGGCTGATTTTGCCTTCTCCCTGAATTAAGACCCCACTGTCATCATTTGTATATGGCTGTAAGGCTTCACTGTGTGCTAACACTGAACTGAAATCCCCGACCAAATGATGTGCAGCTCACTGTGGGCTTCAAAGGCACATTTGAGAATACCAAATAAAACAATAATGGGCATGCATATTAAATAGCCAGAGGACCTTATTTCTAAATAAGAGGCCAGGAGGTATTTCTAGTCTGATATGACCTCACCAAGCTCTTGTTAAGCACTTTACCATTAAATTGTAGGGATCTTGGATTTATTCTCCAGGTCTACAGTAGTGGTACTGTCCTGCATCTGAAGTGCTCCCTCCAGCTTTGAGGTTCTTCTGTTCGCTGGCATGAAAAAATATTGCTGTTTTTCCACTAGAATAATCTATGTGGCTTATCAGGGTGCATTGGGCAAAGTCTCATGTGTTTACAAGTTACTCGACTGTGCATACTGCAGTGTTGTAGCATGAATGGATGAATGATGGACTGTCAACCTGTAATCACTGAAAAACTGTTTTTGAGCTGGTGCTGTTGGTTAACTATGAGTCATAAGCACAGTTCAGGACCTTAGCATCTCAATTGTCTGCGTAGCATGTGAGTATTGTGCATAACAGCTCTCATCTGAGGGTGGATTGGAACTGCTGAATTGCTGCTTCTTTTGGGGGAAGAGGTGGGTTCTGCAGTCAGAGGCAAAGCTGGCTATCAAACCCCCATCTGTGGGAGTTAGCTGTTTTCCTAAAGCATGACAAATGTCAGCAGAAAATGATAAAGCAGGTTGAGGGGATGCTTCTAATATTAAGAATACAGAATGGCGGCCACCTATCTACTAGATTGAGCAACGTTATTTGGGGTGTTCTTTGGAGAGTGCTTCCTGGGTTGTTTACAGGATTTTTTTTTTTTTCTCTAACTAGTGTCTTAGCCAGGACTCTGTCTCAGGCTCAACCTGAGATGAAGTAACAGTTATTTGACATTCAGGTTTGTTTGTCAGCTGTCACTGTGTGACGCATAGGAAAAACACTGCTGAATGGTAGAGACTTTTTCTGTTGGGTAGCTGGAGGCAAAAAACGCAGCCAGCCAAACAAACCCTCTTTTACCTTTTAAAGTTGAGATACTAAGCGATAGCAGCATCTTAAGTATGCTCCTGAAATTTTATTATGTGCATGCAAAGGTTTAAGGACTGGTCACGGAGGTTATTTTCTGTGTGTGTGTGTAATCTAACACCAAATCCCAAACTAAGAGAGGGAAATAAATCAGCTTAATCTATATGGACTCCTCAGAACAATGCCAGTTTATGAAGGCCAAAGTGTGAATCATGAAGCTTATCCTAGGGGAAGTATATGTGATGCTGTCTCGTGTGGCTGTGTGAAGAGATCTATAGATCTCCCTGGGTATGTGAAGGAAAGCTTCATAGCATCCACAGCCTCTCAAAACCCAAGTTGCTCCCCGCAGAGGAGATTGTCATTTGTATTTTGTGCTGGGGAAAAAGTTGTTGAACTCGGCAGCCCCAGCCCAGTCAATGGAAGGAGAGGCACCCTGATGTACGTACATGGAGACATGGATGTCACTCATGAGGAACCTATTGGTGTTCCCTGGAAGCAGTAAAGCTGCTGCTTCTTTCTCTGGTGGAAAATAGAGGTGGGTGGGGGGATGTCCCGTGCTGACAGAGTCAGGAATGTTCGCTGGCTTGGTGGTGATGCTGCTGTGCCTGGATTAGTGCCATCACCAGTCACAGGGCTGCAGGCTCGGGTGGCCAAGCTGGCAGCCAAGCGGCTGAAGAACCCTGCGATACCTTTTGCTGGGGGGAAGGAAGGAGCTTGTTCCTGATGCCTGCCTGGCTCTAATGAGGAAGTTCCCGTGAGGGAAGGTGCTCTTAAGGTGCTCTTGCAGGCATCTCGTCGAAAGAGTGCAAGGGAAGCCAAGCAGCCGTTTTTAGTGAAAAACAGAGTCGTAGCAATGCGTGTGTTTTGTCCTTTTATCCTGCTGAAACCAGGACACCCCACACAGGCAGTAGGTGTGCAGAGCAGCCGGGTGCCCAGCCTTGCTCCGTCCGCCACAGCAGCAGCTGCGCAGTGGCAACAGCGCAAGCGCTCTTTGTGTGGGCATTCTTCTGACCCATGATTTCGGCATCTCTTGAACTTGTAGGATGTCCAGGCTCTTCCTCTTCTTTCTGCTTCTCTATCTCCCAAAACTTTTCAAGGCACCTGCAGGTCCTCCCTTTAAAATAGGAAAAGCTGTCCTGTATTCTTCAAGGTCCTATGTCTGGTTACTGATAATGTTTGGAAGTTAAGTTTAGTCCTGATAAATTGAAAACCTTCCCCAGAGTCCTTGCTCTGTCTTCTAGTTCCAAAGTCCTGCTGCCATAGCAGTTGGAGCAGCTCTGTCTGCACGTCCAGCAGCTGATGGTGTT